TTACAGATGTTAAAATTCCTCAATGCATATCTTAGCCTATAATACCACGTTTGGTCCATTTAAGTACACTTATGTCTGTATTAGCCAAGTGACTAAAAATGACGTGAAGAGATTGTCGTCATGAGCGTCAAGAAGTGGTGTACTCTTAAGATTAACTTATGATTCTGTCAGTAGCTAAACAATACGGTGCCCAATGGCAGGATGGTACATGGATAATGAACTTAAAACTATCTGAAAAAAAAGGTCTTAACCTAATATACGTACCACCCTCGATTTTTCTTGGACCGACTGAGGAAAACTAAGAAATATCTCTGACGACAGCCAGTGTCCCGGCATAAATTCGAACCGAGCAGCTCCAGAGTACGAGTCAAGGGCGCTACCACTACACCAAACTTGTTGGTTCAGAGGTTACAAAAAATCTCGATGAGAATGCAAATTATTAATGAAATAATTGGAACAATATCTCGTAAAAGGGCTGAACTGCCATCACTCAGACGTTACAGCACAAGCAATGGAAGAGATGGGTGCCGATACCGGAGTTTCGTAGGAGCCACTGACGATACTCAATGCCACGTCATCATGAGGACTGATGCACGTTCGCGTTACGAGGGTGACTAGGAATCTTCCTGGGGAGCAAGTGTCGGCCAGCGCGTAAGGCTGACAAACTCACCGCCATCTGTGGGCCGATTGACTAGAAAAATGTGGGAGTCTCGACGTCTCACAACCCTATGGGCCTCGACTGTCTGTTACAGGGATAACTGCTGTTTTTCTTTACTGGTATCAAGCTGCAATACAGCCCCATGCTTGAACATGGCATCTTCCGCCCTAGTCCCCCAAAGTGTCACAACAAAAGTTAGAAGTTTAGCAAAGAAGGAAATATACAAACTACTATTGTCTTACAGTACAAGTTCCTTCTTACTAGAATACTCTTGGGCGATCATACAAAAATGGATCCCCCTCATCAGTAACGGGGTTTCTAAGGCACAGAGAAGATCTGTATGACGTGACAGGTTCTTCATGAGTTTCCATAAGGTATCAGTCTGAAGTGTTCAGCTTTTATTCCACAGATGACACTAGTGGTAGATACTACATGTCTTCAAAATTTGTTTCCATTTCTTTGCATTGTTGCATTGGTTTTGTTGGCTGTGTTTGTAGCACAAATTCCTACCTCCTTTTCTATCCCAGTTCCACGCGGGTGCGTGCTTTATCACAATTTTATTGTATAGTTTCTTGTTATCTCCCGCAGAATCAGCCTGGTCTCAAGTGATTAAATAGCTGTGTAAATCTGACAGGGGTTATCCTGTGATTGCGATTAGCTCTTTCTAAGGAGCCTAACTGAGTAGGTGTCTTCTTCCCCATTCAACTGAGGATGGAAACACATCCAGTTACCGAAACGTCGCGTTTTCTATTTTCTAGACTACCGGACGATGGAAAAAGTCCAAACCCCAGTAATTCAGTAATTCTGTGTTTTATAAATCGTCAGAACCCTTTAAAATCTACTTACACTAAAATGTCTTCAGCTGCACCAGTGTCCCTCCGTGTGTTTGGCTATTACTGCATTGATCTGGTAACCATTCAGAGAGATCAGGCTATTCTAGCATTCCTACAACCCATGACGTCAAACCAGGTGGTTTATATTTATTACTGAACTGCACGAGATGTATGCAAGTAACCTTCGAATGTGATCAAAGTAAAAGAGAGATTAGGCAGTATCGGTGACATCGAGCACAACCTCAACAAATTTGAAGCGTTATGATTAGAAGAGGCAAGATGAAAGATGCGGTATTATAAAAAAAGGGAATCAAATAGACAATGTAGACAAAAGAAACCGTAGCACGCTGTTTGCTTCCCATTTATTTGTCAGAAAGGCATGAAACCTCACAAAGATTCTACAGAGGACGGCGTTTGCGTGCTGAGAGGAGAACCTGGAAATGACATGGCGCATCTCATAATATTGAAACAGAAACGTCTCAGCCATTGTGCTCCACTTCCAACCCAGACGCAGTTCTCTCCCCGTTTTATTATGTATTTATGCGACGGGATCCGGACGGTTCTGACACTTGAAATTTCCCTTCCAATTTTCGTGAGATTCTCCATTATCAACGCGATAGTTAATGATCTATGGAATTAAAATGTCAAACAATTGAATTGTATTTGTGATCACGTCCCAATAATTATGAAGGAGTTCCTCTGCTTGTCGAGGCCATGTTGTACCTACAGGCGCACCTATTTACGTGATGTCACTTCCTATCCATAACTCTCCTTCGTTTTTCTTTCTCTCTCTTTCTCTATATATATAAGGTTGTAACGGTGAGATGGAAGCTGTAGGTGGCTGCAGCCTGGTCCCTCGCTCGCGGATTTTTATACCCTGAAAATGGAGGCGATACGTTCATCCGAAAGGTCGGTTTACACAATATCTACGAGGCGCCACATCCCAGAAGACGGCATTCTTCGTTCATTACCGTGTTCACAAAACCCTCCACTGGACCCTATCCTGAGCCAGAATGATCCAGCCCATACCATCCCATCGTATCGTATCAATCTAAGACCCATTTTAATATTGCCCAACCACCTACATCTTGGTCTTCCTATTGGTCCTTTCCTTCTTGCTTTCCCACCAATATCCTATATGCATTCTTTTTCTCCACCATTCGTGCTATATGCCCTACCATTCTCATTTAAGTTGGTCCCTTGTCACCACGGCAAGGCACTTCCTCAGGTTATGTGTGGACGAGACGGACGCCAGATACAGAGGGTAGCGGCGAATATACTGAATAAGCAGTAGCGGACATCAGACAAGGGACGGTCCTCCATCTTGTGGGGGTTGAGCGTGGGGCTATAACTACTCGCCATAAATTATAAGCTTGTTACGAAAGATCACTAGTAGTCTCTTTCGAAGATTACTAATGATATTTGTTAATTTATTCTAGCTATTTATTTCACACTTGATTATTTATGAAAATACCAAAAAATTCTATTAGTGACGTGTAAGTAATTTCCGTGTGCTTCCCTGAAGCCACATCTCATTGGACCAGAAAACAGAAATCGTTAGTTTCCTACAGAGCACCGAGATTCTAGTGCGCCTCAACTGGTAAGTGTATCGATACGTGTACAGTAATCAGATGACCTTCAGAGTATCTGACGAGGGGGCTGGTGTGCGCAAAAAACGATCGCGCATTACGAGGGTCCTCAGACGGCATGTGAACATGTGAACGGCCAGATTTCGTTAGAGTAAGGTGTGTTATGGTATGAGGACAGAGAACTGACATTAGTGGACTACAATCAGTTGATGAGTCGCAGTATATTTCGGAGAAAGCTCGACGTTTCGGAGAATATACTGCCTAAATATTCTGGATCGAAGAGTAAGCAAAGTAAGAAATCGGGAGAAGTATGCTGCAAGTTCATCATGCGTTTCGCTAATTCTTCGAGCCTGATGATGAAAGCAATATGTTCCTCCGAAACGTCATGCTTCCAGAAGACCGAACTATTTACTTTCACCTCCGTCAGAACCACTGCAGTTATTTGTCCGATTTGAGGTTTTCACAGTGATGATTATGATGAGTACTAATTTCTGGGATGTGACGCCGTGTAATCTGGCAAAAGTTTACTCACATTCGGAGGAACGTATTTCCTAAATCTTCACGGTCGAATAGTATTCCAAGCAAGCGAGTATAATGCTCTGCTTGCTGCTTGCTTCATGCTATTTTCTTGGGATACACTTAGACTCTGAAAATGGAGGTTATGTGACCCCGAAACTTCGCGCTGTCTCTGAACTGTACAACGTTACAACCAAAATACCCTACTCTTTGCTGTTTTATTGCATAATTTGGGGTTCTCTCAGTGGTAACTACTGAGAATAATGTGAAGCTATGTAATCCAGTAGAAATTTACTGACGTTTCGGAGGTACGTGCTTCAGGGTCAAAGAGTACGCCGACTGCTTGGCTTATTATTCGAGCGTATAAATGAGGCTTGACATTCATCCATAACGTCAGTAGACGTCTACCAGACTATAAGGTGTCACATCGCAGAATACAGTCCTGTTTACAGTTACGATGTTGTTGAAGGAGCGACAGTCGTGCCACTCGCGCTTCCAAATTCAAATTGAGTTTGCAAACTAAGTTGCGGATTAATTCTAACCCCCCCCCCCTGCCCATCCCCAAACGTTGGTCGCTTCATAACCTGGCATTGCAATGCTATTTATTAAGAGTGACAAAAAAGGTGACAGTTTTCATAACCTGTCATTTTAAATTTGGTTGCACATAAATATTCATATGACACGTCCTGCTTTTTTCACTTTCCCCCCATACTGACGCCTATACTTATGAAACTCTGTACATATTTCAAAACAAATACGTGATCCGTGCAAATACAGTACTTTTATAGCTGTCAGCTCAGTCTAAAGACGAGTAACCCTTTAAACCCCGAACCCAGAAACTCGGTATAAGTTTTAAGCCGAAAATATTAAAACCAAATATTTCTAATTTCTATCTGCCGCTGCTGATGACGCGAATACAGCCATTCGTCCACTCGGACTACGAGCTGACATTGAAATACTGAGCGTTTTATCCAATGAGTTTGGCAAGACTGCTGGCCTATAACACAAACCCTTTACTATGAATTCCCACATAGTACGGCAATGAAAGTGCTTACCCCTCAGAAATAGTACCTACATCCCTTAACTTATTCTTATTTCCCCCTTCTGACAGAAGAAAATCGTTGAAGAGTGCACCCTTCTTGGTGGTAAAACGGTGTAGTCCAAAGAAACGCATCGCCATCGGATTCAGGGTCGAACAATAGGCCAAGCATAAGTAGTCGGCAAGCTTAGCTTCGACCGTGAAGATGTAAGACATACGTCCCTCCGAAATGCAATGTTCCCTCTGATCTACACTGAACTACAACCCGGAAACCCGCAATCTTCATCCTCAGCGTTGTGAGAACCTCAAATTAACACTGCTCTATTTTATATGTTCTAATAATTATATTTCTCTATTTTATTCAGCTACTACGCGTCAGCGTCCTTTCCACCAGGTCCACCGCGACTTGTTCCGCCTCTGAAACGACCTCGGCTCATGGTACCCCCGGCCAGACCTGTCATCAAGGCTACCATCCCTCAAAAGCCGCAGACAACTCCGATGAACCAACTGAAGACATACAGTAAGTCGGCCTTTTTGATGAAGAAAAATGTGAATATTATTAAGAGGGCTGGATTTAAGGGCGGGAATCCCGGGGCCTCCACAAAGCACAAATAGAATACACAGATTTTATTAAGGCATTTGCTTCTCTAAAATCGAGAGAACTTAGTTTGCATGTTTAATTATTATAAGGAACAAGAACAGAAAGAATATTACTGTCATAACCTAAATTTGTTGTTAAAGATAGGGGCCTCAACACCTTGGTTGTCCCGGGGCCTTCACGACTGTAAAACCGAATCTGATCAAAAACTCATTAAAAACTTAATTTAATCAGAATTAAATAAGAATACAGTTCATACCTCACAGGAAACACATTATGTCACCACTACAAAGCCCAAACGGTTGATGCTGTTTTGGGAAACAGTTGCTGTTTACTGTGAGAACCATAGGAACACACAAATAATATAGAGATTTAGTCCGTAGCTCACAGGAAACACATTACGTCTCCGATACAAAGCCCAACCGGTTAATACTGTTTAGGGAAACAGTCGCTGTTTATTGTGAGAACCATACGGAACACACAAATAATGTAGATATTCAGTCCGTACCTAACAGAAAACACATTACGTCTCCGCTACAAAGCCCAACCGGTTAATGCTGTTTAGGGAAACAGTGGCTGTTTATTGTGAGAACCATACGGAACACACAGACACACTGTGTGGGCAGAATGCAGAATTTTAGTATGCTGCAGTAACCACTAGTAATTAAAGGGTTAAACCTCTTGCACCGAAAGCATAACGCAAAATATATTGTGGAGAGACCAGATTCGTGTATCTGCAACTTATTATCCTCCAGCGAAGAGAACAATCCTCTCCGGCAAGTACTGTGAGAGCTGAAATGTTCGGTCTGAACGTAGCACTCGTACCCTGAAGCTGAAAGGGTCTCTAAAAAGAGAGTATAATAGTCAAAGTAGATGAGTTCTATCCACATCTTGCCTCGCCTTCTGTTCACTGGGAGAGAATGTACGGGCAGAATATTAGAATACCGAAATATGTAATCATACACTTACTATTAAAAGTATACAGTATAATGTGCGTAATGTTGCAGCGAGCCGTAAAATAACGCAAAAAAAGAGCACTTAATTTTAATAAAGTCTGCTCATTTCAAAAGACACTTGCTCTTTTCATAATATGAATCTTTATGCACACACATACATACCAACACACACAAAAACTCCGTGACCTGTAGCCCGCAAGTGACCTATACCGACCGAGCGACCGCAGTTTCTCTGCGAAGTTAGTGCCAACTTTAGGGGATAGAGGGTGTCACGTGGTCAGTGCAACAACTCCCCACGGCCGTTAATCTCGGTTTTCTAGACCGGAGGCGCTATTTCCCTTAAATAGCTCCTCAATTATCCTCAAGAGGCTGAGTGGACCTCGTTCCAGACACACTACTTCTCAGAAAATCTGGTAGCGCCGGGAATCGAATTCGGGACCCCTGGATCTGAAGCCAGGGACTCTGACCACTATATTACAGGGGCGGTCCATATATACATACATAAACCCACCAACCACGCGAATCCCCACGATCACACTTAAACACTATCCACCACTGTAGCAGCCCGGATTCGATCCCAGGAGATGCTATATGGGATCTGTGGTGCACAAAATGGCACCGGGGCAGGTTTTTATTATATTACTTCGGTTTCTCCTGCCACTTATCATTCCATCATCACATTCACATTCACCAATCTCTCTATAATTGACGTTCCACGGTCCCAATACTAGCAGCGTCGTTAAACATCCAACTCCAAAAGAATCTGTCATTGATGATTCCACACAGAGGACTTTCGCGATGTCCTGCTCCTTTGTTACAATATGTTACGCTCCGATACTTTTCTCTTATGTTCAGAATGAACAATATATATCATTAGGGACGCCAGGCCGAAATGACTTCAAGGGGTTTTGCGAGCGAGTGTGCACTTCATTTTCACAGTTCGGTGAATACGTCAAACCGTTTCCTCAGAACAGAATAACTTTCCGACAGTTCCACCCTCGCCGAGAGTGGGGTTTAAAAATATCTTAAAATGATCAACGACGTAGTTAATTTCTGACTTAGTCGCAACTAGAAAGTTCCGGAAAAAAAAATGTTCCTATAAACTTCACTATACCTGTCTACCTCTCTAGTGGTCCTCGTGTATCAACCAGAGAACATCTGAGCTGATTTGAAACTTGCTGACACATTTCAGTTACAGTTAAACCCGGGAAATAACTGAGCACCCGTTCGCGTTTTTGTTCGAACTTCCAGCACATCTCGCATGTAACTCGTTAAATAGTTATCAGATGAAAAACTGCCCCAACAGAAGCTGTAGAGGCAAATAATAAACACAATGAATGCCCCGCACACTCTTAACATTAGGTCTTAACGGTTATAATGACAATTAAAAAGAATACACCGAAATCTCTAAGTTACATTATATGTAAGCTCCGTAACACGTTGACCGCCTCTGTGGTCTAGTGGTCAGCGTTCCTGGCTACAGATCCAGAGGTCCGGGTTCGATTCCCGGCGCTACCAGATTTTTTCGGAGAAGTAGTGGGTCTGGAACGGGGTCCACTCAGCCTCGTGATGATAACCGGGTAGCTATTTCAAGGAAATAGCGGCTCCGGTCTAGAAAACCGAAATTAACGGGCGTGGGGATTCGTTACGTTGACCACGCGACACCCTCTAGCCGCAAGAAGTTGGCACTAAAACTTGCCGACAAGCGGCGATTTCTCGGTCGGTATAGTTCGCTTGCGGACTGAAATCACGGAGTTTTTTTCCTCCCATAATATGTTACATTTCAGTTTTCACAGAGATATCTACGAAGAATACCATGCAACACAGTGTAGTTGGGAAGGTCACAGACGTTTCGGAGGAATACACTTTGGGGCCATCGCTGTGAGGACCTCAGAGCTTTCCTCTGTTGTTTTGGAGGGATGAATATGAACATTCATTCATCAATGACTCCACAGCCCTTTGTTTGGCCCTGACCTCATCTTCAGTTTCGTAATCTTTTTTACACAGACGATAGGACTCCTTGGACGGGGGATCAGCCCCTCGCAAGGCCTCTACCTAAACACGGAACAACACACAAACAGAATAAACGCACACACAGACATCCATGCCTCAAGTGGGATGAATATGAACATACTCCATGTATTTACTTGGTGGCAGCGTTCGTTTTTATGTTAAACAGTGCACAGTCTAAAGCTTTGTTAATTTGCATTGGTCTCCTCTTTATGTAGTTCATGAAGCCTTTGTAGCGCAGTCTATGTTGTAAAACAAAGCAATCAGTAAACCAAAACAATTAAAATTCCAATCTCGCCATACGGCTGCTCAGTTTGTGATGGATTATTCACTTCCTATTTTTTGTGTGTGTTACAGGAAGCTATTCGGGGCACGCGGTAGCGTAATTTTTTGAGGAACTATCCTAAAAGTCAGAAGGTTGCGGGTTCGATTACCGATGAGTTCACTGGATTTTTCAATTGGCCTAATTGTTTATGTGCTGTGTTTTGTTTGAAAGTGTTTATGTGTGTTATTTGTCTGTTGTCTTATTGAAATACCACTGCCACCGGGTCAAAACCCATTTTCAGTTAAATAATAATAATAATTATTCCAGCCACATTTTGGCCTTGAGTCTCCGCCTCTAATAGAAACGAGTATCAGGAATCTTCCTGGAGGTAAAGGGCGGCAGCCACGTAAGGCTGACAACCTTACCGCCATCTGTGAGCCGATTATCCAGAAAATGTGGGAGCCTCGACGTCTCACAACCCTATGGCCCTGCACAGCCTGTTAAAGGGATAATTTCGCCCTTTATAGGGAGTTATTCATTTCACCTAAGAGCTGTGCTAATTGTAAAAAGTGGACGTTTATTTGAAGACGATGTTACAGTTTATATTACTGCATACTGCACGTGGAGAATGTCACACATTTTCTGACAGCACGCCACTGACTAGAATGTTGCGATGTGGGGGTAGGGGCCGTTATGGTCAGTTGGATGCCGCTGGGCAGCATTCGCTCTGGTGTAATGGGGGGAATGGCCAAGGGGCATTATAACAGTAATAAAAATGGTCCATAAATCGCAGTGGTATTGACGCAGCCAGACAGAGAAACAAAACACTTAAACTGCCATTGTGGTAGTGCCATAGTACAGACAGTCGAAGCATTTTGGAAAATATTCAGCCTTTCATAGTCTCCACCCCCTTTCACTCTGTCTCCTTTCCACCCTTTACATTGACAGGGAATTGGAAGTTCCAGTATAAGCTGTATTTTATTTTTACCGCCAGAAATGCTAGTGGTCCATATAAATTCTGGCAGAACGCACGATATAACGCTGCTGTATGGGTATACAGGTGGTTCATGCAGTCTCCCAACGCAATATTTCTTCCTACGGCTTTATTTATCGATTTTATCCATGAGAAATATATGTGTACCCTACATTGCTGACGTGTTGAAACGAAATGCTGCTGGACACGAGTCTGGAATACCAAATGGGACACGATCTGTTGTCATCGGTTCGGTTATTGACATCAAGTCAACTGGTATGGACTGCACCAGTTAAGACATGTTATTAATGATACAAATACCAGAATATGGCATTGACAGTGGTTGTTTTTTAAATGAAATCATGTCAGTTTCACCGTCCATCAGAGGTAACAGCAAGTACTCGTACACTTACTCACTTAAGGAGCTGAGCCCTTCTGGAGGAGCCGTAAATTCTGCAGCTACTCAAGAATTTTCTACCATTTTATGGAACCCGAAGGTTCATTACCGTGTTCACAAGAGTCCTCCACTGGTCCATATCCTCAGCCAGATTAATCCAAGCCATTCCATTCCACGCTATCTTTCTAAGATCCATTCTAATATTGTCTAACCACCTACGCCTTGGTCTTGCCGGTGGTCTCTTTCCATCTGGCTTTCCCAACAATATCCTATATGCATTCCTCTTCTCCCCAATTCGTGTTACATGCCCTGCCCATCTCA